AAACGTATATGCGAATTCTTACTTGCGAATTTTACTCTGTTTGATTTTAATGTATTGCGAATTTGAGTTAATTATATATCTTTAAAAATTATTGGCTCTTTTCTCTTATTTTTAATCAATTTGTTTTATTCTTGTTTTGAGCCTTCTATTAATTTATTTTATTTAATTTATTTTATTAATTAATATTTACACTAATAAAAAGCAAATGATAATTACACTAATAGAAAACTAATGATAATGACATAACAATTTATTTATATTTATTTGTTTATAACTTAATATTGTTCCTAATATTCATTTGTTTATAATTTAATATTTAATAAAGAGAGATTACACGAAAACAAAATTATATACTAATATTTGTTAAATAAGCTAGAAAATGTTAATGATATATCGATTTATTTGTCAACAATATCTATTTGTTTATAACATAATATTTAATGAAAAGAGATCAGATAGAATTAGTTATTTTTGTGATTAGGGAGTAAAAGTGGTTTTTACACCCGGAGGGTGTTCGACGGCACGAGGGTTGGCGAAGCCAGCCCGAGTGTACGGTCGAACACACGCGTGTGTGAAAACCTTACTCCCGAGAAACAAAATTTTTCGTACTAGGGAGCTGTGAAGGTGGGGAATGAGGTTCATGGATTGTTTTGCTGAGGGAGGAGTAATTGGGTGTTGTTTATTTACAATTCTCCGGGGTTGTAAAATCGCATTTTACTCCCGCAAATGCGGGAGTAAAACTATCATTTTACGCGCCCTAGTACGAAAACGAAATTATACGCAAGTATTTGTTAATTAAGCTAGAAAATTATAACGACATAACAGTCAATTTGTCGCCAACACCCATTTGTTTATAACTTAGTATGTAATAAATGGAAATCGGACAGAACGAAATTATAAACTGATATTTGTTAATTAAGTTAGGATATGATAATGTAGTTAACAAATACCAATATGTATATAATTCGTTTCCGTCCTATTTTCTTCTGATAAGAATTAAATTATAAACAAATAAATCGTTATTTCAATACCTTAACTTAATTAAAATACTAGTTTATAATTTGGTATCGTCTAATCTCCATTTATTAAATATGAAGTTATAAACAAATACATATCAGTGACGAATAAATCATTATTGTTTAATTAATAAATCAATAGATATAATTTCGTTTTTGCTTAATTGTTATATTTGCGTGAAAACATTGAATTTTTAAAAAACGATAATAATGTTAAAGGACTCCTTACAATAAAACAATATAAACAAATTTAAAAACGACTGTTATACTCTTTATTTACATTTAAATTTAATTAAAAATAACTATAATCTGAAATATCTATGAGTAGTTGGGGAGGCTAAAGGAACGTGGTAATTTAGCATAATATGGCAGAACGAGGTGCGGTTAAGAACTTCAGAGGGCCTGCAGCGTGTAGTCTGATCTACTGCAGTCTAACATCTTGCGCATGGAACTTCATTCTTACAGGAGAAAATTATAAGTGTATATACAAACTACTTTCTCATTAATAGTACATTGTGTAACGTGTGTGGTAAGTTGCTCTCGCTTCGCTCGTGCTCCCGTGCCCGCGTCGCGCAATAGACAATTAGCACATAAGTTGCACATAGATTTTTTCCTCACGAGTGCACTGTGTTATACAATTATAAATTCGCACGAGCGAAGCGAGTGCGAATGCGAAGTTGCACGAGCGAAGCGAGTGTGACTTATGGGGTGGTGCGTGGGGCGCAGGTAGCAGGGGGGGTTCGGAGGGGGGGCGCAGCGACTAAGAGATTACAATGTTAATTATTACACGTTGAAGGACACTTATACAATGGGTGCTTTCCAGCAAGGACAGAATCAGATACTGTGTAACACAGAGAATCGTTTCATCCTCGTTTAACGTAGGCAAACAACAGGGATGCAATGATTCACTGTGTTACACAGTGTCTACTTGTGTCGTAGCTGGAAAGCAGCCAATATTAGTTATTACACGTTGAAGGATACTTACAATCTTGGTAAAATGGCCCCGTTCACAAATTTCTGATAGCAATGACATAAAGATGATGCAATGCCCGTGAAAAACGGCGCGACTTGAACGAACACCGGACGGGCGGGCGCCAGCGTCGACGCAGGTTAGGTTTCTCTGTGTTGTTATTGGTGCTACCAGTGCTACCACCCTACCACTGCCTTGCGTTATTTAGGTTTCTCTGTGTTGTCATTCGTGCTACCAGTGCTACCACCCTACCACAGCGTTGCGTTATTTTTCATAACGCAACGCTTTTGCGAAATAACTCAACGGCTTGAGTTATTGGCTATTTACCGCACGCAAAAGCATTGCAGTATAGGGCACATTACGTGCACGCGTGAGGAAAAGTCTAAAACGTAACTACAATGGCGAATGGCGTAAAATTATGAAGACGTAATAGACCACTTCTCATTGCCTTCCGCATTTTGCGGTGCAGTTGTCGGAATGTATTTCGCAGTCAATTTTACCGAGACACGGGGCTTCGCGCACGCGAGATCATGGGACATCAGTAGACGTCAGTAGGAAGAGGCAATTTATCAAATTGAAGCCGTCAAACATTTCATAAACTAGTCAAAGTTATAAGGGAGTACTCCAGTTAAGGAAGCGTCCCTAATCTATCTTGAAGATATACGAGTCAGTGAGTTTCCCAATGAAGGGTGTGTCTCTCGCATTATTCACGAACGAGTTGTTTAAATAATACGTCACTTGTTTTTCATTTCTAGAATAGACGGCTGTCGATACCAAAACTGAGTGGTGAACGCAATAGGTATTGATTATTTCTATCGGAAATTGTTATTCGAAAGCTTATACTACTAAAAGTGGCTGTGAAAAAAAAATAAACGTTTAATTTTAGAACATATGCACGCTCGAGCAAATTAAATGGCTGATAACTTCAACTTTTACAAATTTTTAACAATTTTATCAGCTTCGTTGTATCTTTTATTACTTTTCAATTACAAATCGATTGGTTAATTGATTGCAAGAAAAAGTTACACGGCCAACAAATATCGGCTAAATAAATGCGGGTTTCTTATTTCTATTGATAAGCAATGAAATGATGAAAACGATCGCTTTGATGAGAAGATTTTGCTTTCTGTAAAGAAGTCGTCAATTTTTATAACCCTTTCGTAAACAAGGTGTGGGAAGCTATTCTTCCCTATGTATACGCAAACCACCCACGTACCTAGCACTAAAAACACGGAACTCAGCTACAATGGGGAGATTGTGTGTTATTGCCATCGCACACATCATCGTGTGTGCGTCGGAGTTTATTCACTCTCTCTCTCTCTCTCCGGTTTACAGCGTTGCTCGAGCCACATTGCGGTCGACACGATGTTTAGAAAATGGCAACGGATAAATATTGCGGGTATGGCGTGGCGCACGCGAGAGAGCTCTGACCATATCGCGTTGGAAAACCAATATCACGCACGCGCGCGCGCGCGCGCGCGGATGTATGTATTGTCGAGTATGTGTATCCATCCCTTAATAGTCTTCTGATGACCCGTAGATACAGCTATGCGGTATAGTTAGGGCTCGTCAGGCGTTCATCCCGTAAGAAACGTATTTAAATCGCGAGCTCGGACGCGTTATTTGCCATTGTTATATCCGCGCATTTTTTTTTATAATACCTTAAGCGAGGACTGGGAAATCCATGAACAGATACTTTATCACCATTTGTAATATATGTAAAACGTTAAGACCTGTATTCATAGTCGATTCTTATATTTAAAGCTTTTTATTTAACTAAATGAGATATCATAGCTAAACACAGAGTCGTATTAGCTTCATAAGGCCTAAGGCCGGAATCAGACTACACATTGAAGATTGAGATTGAAGATTGAAAGATTGAATTTTGGCTAATCAAAATAATAGGAGTTAAAATTTCTTTATCTTCATTGGTCAAATTTCAATTTTCAATCTTTAATCTCAATTTTCAATGCGTATTCTAATTTAGACCTAAATCAGACAACGCATTGAAGATTGAGATTGAAGATTGAAATGAGATCAATAATAACAAAAAAATTTAGCTCCTTATTTGTTTAAATTGGACAAATTTTAATTTTTTTTTTAGTCTCAATCTTCAATCTCTAAGACATTACTTAAGACAGTCTTAAAATATGAACGAAATGTAAATATTAATGTAAATTCTGGACTGCATAAACGCAAGATTAGTTAATTAAATTTTACAAACAATATTAATCAACAAAGTTTCGGTAGCATTGATAAAACCTACATTTTGTGTTCCCTGTCGACTTTGTTTTTTATGTCTGCTATTAAAAAAGATACAGCATGACATTTTTGTATCAAAAAATCAAAGAAATTTATTTTTTGAAAATCTAAATATGGCGAATTCTCTTCTACAATACATTTTTCTCTTCCAATACATATTAAACGAATTTTGTTATGTTTGTGCTCACTTTGAAATTACAAAGTATATTACTTACAAAAACTTGAAGGTAAAGAGTTTTACGTACAATTTATATTTCATAAGAGTTAAAAATCAGAATAAAAAGTGGACTCTTCATGTGTACTACATACGTTATTACGTATCCCTTTTCATATTATTTAAAGGAAAGAAAGGAAAATTTTAAGCCTATCTCGCGAAATAAGAATATGCTACTTTATAAAACAATGCGGATAAAAAGGGACAAAGAGCCGACAATGTAACGAAACCAAAAGACCAGAATGTATAAAATTTGGTGTTCTTGTCATTTATATCAGTAGATAATCCATTAAAAGATAAGAAATACGTATAAAATGGTAACCAATCAAAATCACGTACACTGTTATTTATTATTACATTATTAAATCACAAGTGAATTTGCAGAATTTGCTACTTTATAATATTAATCGAATCATTACGTATAATTACTGTTTTCTTTTTTTCCTTAAGCGGGATGTTTCGAAGCGCTTAATTATTTCAGTTAATTAGTTATGAACTTAATAATGGAGAGACTACAAAAGACAATTTGCTTGTCTAGGCCACGCTCATGTGACAGACTTCAACATTGCAACTGTACTCGAAAGCGGGCAATTGGCAACTTCGATGTCTGGGACAAAACCGTATATAGGTATGTGTTAGCGAATAGTCCCAATTTGAATTTCCCTTCTTCCACATAGTTTTAAAATTCATGCGTTCCGTCATTTTTGTTATTTAATTACGATACTTTATTTTCATAATATATTCAATACATTTAATTAATTTTAAAACATATCAATATCGTTTTCTATATCAAATCATTATTTCAGTTGTTATGCGCGCACATTTCTCTCTATATTCACATATTTAATACAAACGCATGTCAAGTTTATAATTTGTAATTGCGATCAATTTTATTATTTTCATAAATTGTTGCTGCTGATTCCTTATTCGTCTCGTACGGTAGCTTTTATATTACGTATCAAAGAAAGATTCGTAATCTTTAAACGGAAGCAGTATCTTCACATCAAATAAGACATTGCGTGTATCAAGAGAGACTCATGTCTAGCAGAAAAAGGTCGCATTTCAAAAAGAATAACGAGCTTTCTTTGTTTCCATGCATCAGTTCTTTATCTTTTATGTCTACTTTAAACTCGGCGAGTCGCTCTCGCGAACAACGTGAGACCAGTACACTTTTCTGCATCTCTTCCTTTTTACGCGGATCAGCTCCAGAGATTTACATGTGTTCGTGCGAGGAATATGGCGTCCACGGTTACGGATTCGCAGTGGACTGGTGGAGTCTGGGAATCCTCGCTTGGGAAACCCTAGCCATGGAGAGACCGTACCCACTTCACTCCACTACGTCCAACAGAGAGGCTCTGAGGATCTTGAAGGTGAGATACAAATATATGATGAAAAAAAATTAATTTACGCGAGATATATAAAAGAAGTGCGTCGCGCGACTCTTTATTTTCCCTTCTCGTCCAAAGTTATACGAGGTGCGAGTAAAATTTCTATACCATTTTTGAAGAATACGCGCGCGTTAGTCTGTTAATTAAGGTTATATCATGTCTCAGCTGTAACGTTAATTAAGGACTTGTCATGAGCGCGCTGCTGGCACGACACGTGCGCGACGTGTTATAGCATTCTGCCCTGGTATACGTCCATCGGCTTGTGTAACACAAACATTTTAACATGTCTTTCAAAACATTCCAGTTTTGAATAATTCCGAAAGTAAACACACGGAATGTACAACGTGAAATATATCATGTATTTCAATATAATATAAGACCTTGGAATCACGTTTGTGATTATAAGAATGATCTGAGTCTTCTTTACTTTGAGATAAGCGGATTTTCTAATCTTGTTTATTAAAAAAAAAAAAAAACATTTTATAATGTCTCTTTTTTAAAGTTTTTAAATTAATCGCAATTAAATTTCGCTATTCACGGGGCTGACATTTCGCGCGCTCGGGCATGACGATATGACAAATGGTGAATATACCACGGGAGCCCCCTTAACATGCAATATATTTTTCAGAAAGATTGAAAAAACAATATTTGTGCATTTTTAATTTTTATTTATATACACATGTGCATATAATTAATATGCATAATTAATATCTGAATAGTATCAATATCAATTCAATAGCAAGATATTACGAATAGGGGAAGCCCGGGCAGTGTGGATATCTTAAGGTTTGGGAAGAAAAATGACATAGTTAAAATTAAGATCAGAAACTATTTTTTATTCTTAAAATTTCATTATAGAATAAACTTTAAAATAAAATTAAAAATAAAATTTAAAAAACTTGAACATTTATATGTATTTTAAATAAAAATGTAAGAAAAGAAAAATCATCCGCTTTACCCAACCCCCCTGGATAAACCGAATATTACTCGAATAATGAGAATATAATAAAAAAATATCAAAATTAATATTGGCAATCGTCACAAAAGTAGCTGCCAAATCCTCTATATGTTGTGCAGCCTTCGTGAGCCCATTTAGTGCACTGATTGCACTGGATCCAGTCTTCGGATGGTTGGATCGATGTATTCTTGAGAACACACCAAACAGAAGTAACGTACGTTCTCTTAATCATTAACAGACTTTTCTTTTTTAACTCGCTTTCTGTTTACATCACTACAGCTAGGTCCAGCAGTGATGATGTGCTATTCGTTTTGTCCCCACTCACTTTGCCTAAAGAACCTACTTGGCGCAAATTAGGAAAAATTAGAATAAGTTTCAGCAACAAGTGAAGAATTTTAACCTCTAATGCACGTTTAAAGACAGAGAATTCCTATAAAAATTTATTCACACTGGTTAAGAAACAATTATTGCTAATAATTACACTATGTATCTAAGCGAAAATTGTAAGAAAACATCACACAATTTCGTATATTTGTATATAAAACATAAACAATCGCAATCATATTGCGTTTTGTATTTTCATAGCGTCGCCGGCCGGTTATTCCTGCAACAGCTAGAGATTCATAGCACCATCTCTGATAGATAAGCAGAAATAAAAAGTATTCGGTTTGCCTAGGGCATCCATTTTGCCCGGGCTTCCCCTATATCAACTGTTAAAATAAATTCGTAAGCATGATGTAAGAATATAAGGTGTTTCAAAGCGCATTGTAGGCGGGGCCGAAATTAGAGCAGCCAATAAAAATTTAGCCTCAAATGGTGACTAATTATGACTTATTAACCAAGTCTTCAGCCAATAGGTTAGCTGACACTATGTTGCGGATCTTGGATGAAGCCATATTGTTTTTTTGCATTTGAGGCAAATTTCTGATTGGTCGACACTGCGCATCTCGGGAGTTGAAACACCTTATATTTTTACATCATGTTCGTAACTATGTTCATCTCGAAGGCGATGATGATGATGACGTATCTCTATGTGTCAAAATTTGACATTTGGACTTTTCATTGCGATATCTTCCTTTATAAGATACGTATTAAATAAAAATACATTTATATAACATAATTTAAATCCAAATAGTAAATTAAGACTACTTAAAAGTTGATATAAATTCAGCCGTTTATTGAGAGATCCGATAATCTCGGGTGCTCGCAACTCATCGACTCGCGTAAACTTTAACGTTTCGCGTTCACTTGGCGCGAGACACTGCCGTGTCTCTTGATGAAACAGTTTTATAAAATAAAAAAAATATATTTTGAGGTCTTCAATCTTACTGCCTTCAGTTATTCACAAAAAAAGTTTTTGATTACACTCACTTTTATTTTGCGGCGAACGCGAGAAGATACTCATCGATACTGGTGTACGAATACCTTGTTTTTTCAGGAGGAAAGGCCTGTACCCTCACACTGGAGCCCGTCGATACGCGATCTCCTGGACCGCCTGTTAACTGTCGCACCGAGTACCAGAGTATCGTGCTTGAAAGAACTGAAACAGGCGAGCGCGATAAGGGATCTGGACTTCGACAAGGTACTGAACAAGCAGATAAAGCCACGCTTCACCCCACCGAAGGATCACCTGAATTGTGATCCCACCTTTGAGCTCGAGGAAATGATAATCGAAACGAAACCGCTGCACAAGAAGAAGAAACGCCTGGCTAAACAGAGGTCAGTTACTTTTGCACGATCATTGTTCTCTTATTGTTATAAATCGAGTGAAGATGAATCGCTGATGAGAATAATACGGATTGTCACTGAAAATTACTCTATTTCATTTGTTTTTAACGCAAATTCCCACCCGAGTGCCGCTCAGGTATCCTTCTATCCTTATTGCTTATTAAATGATAAACAAAGATGACATGACACCCTGGGAGCACTCAGGTGGGAAACTGAACACGCCCTTGAATGTTTATATCTAGACAGGGTTGGGTAGTAACTAGTTGAAACGTTAAAAGTTAAAAAAAAAAGGTTAAAAAGTTAATAACTTTTAACTTAACTTAGTTAATTTTAAATGCATTAAATTTTAACTTAACTAAGTTACTTTTAAACGTTAACTTCATAACTTTTTTTTTAAGTTAAACATTTTTTTATGTCTTTTAAATATCTTAGAAAAATAATAAGATATAATAAGACTAAGGCCGGAATCCGAACATAGTCTAAATCTCAAGGAATGTCTTAAGATGCTAATACGGCTCTCTGATTGGTTCATGCACTAGTTTAATACCATCTGGAATCTTGAGTAACGTCTATGGATTCCGTTCTAAGAGCGTATATTCTGTTTATATTTTAAGACTATCTTAAGTAATTTCTCAAGATACTAATACAGCCCTCTAATTGACTTATTCGGTTATGCCTTATGTTATAAACCTCAGTCCGGATTTACAATAAGTGTTTTAAGCCTTAAGTCATAAGAAATTGACTAATTACAGTTAAATATTCTTCTCGTATTCGAATTTAATTGATCAATTTTTTATGGCTTAAGACTTATTAAAAAGTAAATCTAATAATCTATATTGTAGTTATTTAATCTCATTTTAAGAAAAATTAAGACATTTTGATCTAAAAAATAATTTTTTTTCGAAATTAACTTTTTTTCAACTTAAGTTAATTCAATATTGACTTGACTTACGTTAAGGTAATTTTTTATTCCTTCAACTTTTAACTTAACTTTATTAATTTGGTAAAGCCATTAACTTTAACTTTATTCAGTTAAAAAAAAACATTAACTTACCCAACCCTGTATCTAAAGAGATATGTATACATATGTATGATAAAGCCCGTGTCATACTACGGATTGTAGACGCGGAGAAATGCATTAAAAGTACGAATTTTCAGTGAAAATCCGTTTACCGTTTTCAGGGAATTGTTGCCAATGGAAATAATATTTTTACTGTAAAATATGTTATGATCACAGACAGCTGTAAAATATTTTTAAATTTTCTATAAGTATAATATTTTGAATTGATATAGTTCTTGAAAAAGATCCTTATTTCTAGAGTAAAACTCGTGTTCAACTAGTATTCCTATATACCTACATATATTAAGATTTTTAAATTCATGTATTATATTTCTTATCGAATATTTCTCGCAAAATAAATTAATTATTTACAGATTTTCACTCATAGATTTTAATGTGTCGTTCAACATTATTAAGATCCAAGATGCTATGAGCATCAAAATTGTTGAATTGCTAGATAATTTAACTCGTGATATTATTGCGGTAGTTTCGTAGAATGGCGTTTCAAGAGACCGAAAAATTGTTCGGTGTGCGGTTTAAAATACGTAATTTCTTGTATTCTTAAACTCGCAACTGCCGTTTCCTGCTATAAAAATGAATGGGCTCATCTTATATTTGTTATAAACAGATCTAATATTTCATTGATGAAAATTTTATCTAAAACATTTTTTTATTATTATTTCACCATTTCGACAATAATTGCATAGAATAAAATTTTGACGAGTGGTTTCATCCCTTAAACCTTAAAATAGACGCGTGTAAAAAAAATACTCAATTGCCTCTTTTTTAGAAAAATTGCCTCTTCTTTTATGCTAAAATTTTTCCCTTTTCCAGCGTGGTTGAATTTATCTTCGAAATTATTTTCACGTTAAAATTATCATAGCGTCGTGAAATAGTACAACGTAATCTCTAGCGACTGTTGCGACCCTGAACATCTTAAAATTTACGTATTCCTCTCGCTATCCTATATATTACCGAGGTAATTAATATGCTAATTGTCGAAGCAATATCTCGACATCCCGTTACAGGTCGCTCAGGGTCGAACACTCGGCGGAGGACGCCGGTGGGTTCGCCGAAGGGGCTGGATCGAGCGTAGACACGCGGAGATTAGCTTACATCCCGGAATACCGGGTGTACAATCGCGAGCGCGAGATCGAGAGACAGGAGAGGGAGAAGAAGGAAAAACAGTGGGAGGAGGAACTGAACACTGCCATGAAGGGTGCCGAAGAAAGACTCAAGTACAATCGAATAAAAAAAATTCCTCGGAACTATCGGCACATTTTTCTCTTTCTTTTTTCCCCTCTCATTTCGATCTGTCCGCCGATAGCTATTGTTGCAAATTAATATTTCAAATTGAATAAGCCTCCGTTTTATTTTGTTTTCCAATTTTTGCCTGATATTGATCTCAACTCTCGCAAATGATCCCGAGTCCTGTGCAATTGAGACCCCGTGTACGTTAATTTCTCCCGAGCGACGCGACGTGTCTCTCTCTCCCCCAGCGCTCGCACATAACAATATATCCATATATCGGAACCCTTTGATTACAGAACAAAGCAGCAACATCTGCCAGCCCAGCGAACCGGAAACCGACTGAGCGTCTCGACGACAAGCGTCAAAGCACGCATAAGCGCGTCGCCGAGACAAGGTCGCCGAGCGAGCGCCGCGACGTCCTCGGACATCGACTTCATCGATGCAAGTCCGGAGCCTAGTACGTCTTAGATAACACTGGACACGCTATATTCAACGTAGCTTATATGCAGAGCAAGTAGCATTGGCGGATCCAGAAATTTGTTAAGGGGGCCATTGGCACGTCGAAAGCAACATTTTTTTAAGGGTCAAATATAAAAAGATGGAATGTTAAATTGATATTTAAATTATTGTATTAAAAATATTATTTAATATGTATATATAACATAATTCATAAAACGTTTTATTTAAAGTGGTATCAATACAAAAGAAGACAAATGTTCGCCTTTACACACCCCGCTTCAAACGACCTCCGAGTGACCTTGACCTTGACCCTCAAGGAGGTCAAGGTCACCTTTTCCGTCGCTCGTTACTCATTGAAAAGTTATGAGCAAAATAATTTTTATGAATTTGTGTTTCTAAAGCAGTGAATTTGTTTGATTGTTAAAGTTAAGATCAAGGTCACTCGGAGGTCATTTGGAGCAGGGTGTGTAAAGGTGAACATTTACCCAAAAGAAGAATAGTATATTGAATCTTGTTATTTATATCTTATAGGAATTTCTTAAATTATATAAAATATTTTTGGAGTATCAAAATTGTAATTAAGTGTTTTAGAAATATTAAAAATATATAACATTTTGCTAAATGTTTTCAAAAAAGAAGATTCCAAGGAGAGCGACAGGCACATGACTCCCCCGTGGATCCACCAGTGACTAGTAGACTTCTTCAATCCTACAAATGCACACGAAACTCCAACGGATCCTTCGCACTTTTCATAAAAAGAAATATCTCTCTAGCATTCAATTACCTCTCACACTAAAATTTAAGACGTGAAAAGAAATAAGGAAAAATTCCATTTGTAGATGAAGTTTTTATACTCTTCTTGAAAAGAGACAGAGAGATACGTGACGACATATATATTACACATGACACTTCGCTCTTATTTTTCTATCTATCGCGATTCAATGTCGGGCGATTTATCTTTAACACTCTTTCCCTACACTCCTCTACATTGGATACTTCGCAACCGCAATGTTTATTTTCGATTACGCTTCGAAACGAACTGATCGAGAAACGCGAATTTCAAGGCCTCCATATTCTTTCTGGTGCTATGCTTTAATAAGTAATACTCCACAAACGGATTCGAACGTTCGGTTTGGATTTTTTGAGAGAATTTTATAGATAGACTGATAACACGTCGGTTATTGCCACGATTTGTTTTAATTACAATTATTTTCATTTGCAGTATCTTGAAAATGTAGATAGCAGCTGGAGGTAACCGCTCAAGTCAATAAAAAATAAAAATGACGATTTTGATTCTTAACATCAATAAAGAATTAACTTTTATAATGAAAAATCATCGTTTTGACTTGTATGACGTCAACATAAAGTCATTTTGACTTTCTCTTGACTTGGTGTGTTCTTCGGGCACACATCATCGATATAAAGCTCTATCAGATTCCATAGCAGTGTGCACTTAATCACTGTACCAGGAAACGTGCATTTATAAGATTACTATTTCGGATTATCCCGCAACTTCCGACTAATAATAGCACGAATTTATTTCCAAAATAATGAACAACGGATCTTATCTTCACTCGAGTAGCAAATTTTTTTTTATTGCTTCAAAGATCTGGTTACGTTACGACTCTTAGATTAGAATGCACGCATCCGCGAAATGTAATTATAAATTAATCCTTTCAGTACAAAGTCAGACGTATATCGTACATCTAAAACTTTTTCAACAAAATATCTTTCGTCTCACTGTCTTTGAAGATCGCTATATAACTTTCATGTGCGTTATTATCTAAATAATATATGAAATGCTCTGCAACATTAACTAGAATCACAACGATCGCGTTTAGATGGACGTAAAAAAAATTGTGGATGAGAAAGGAAGATTTTTTGATGGTTTAAGAGCGCTAAGTGAGTCAAATAAGTGCGAGATAAATTTTAATACTTCACCTTTACCTGATACGGTACTGAAAGGATTGCAACGTATATTAATAATTACTTTATTGACGGGACTGGGAACAAAATATGACCTACATATAACAAATATATATATATTATATATATAAATGTTTTGTTCTATAAAAATATATGTTGTTTAGAAGCGAGCTATGTACGAATTGAGAATAAAAAATATCTTTGACATGTTGTTAACAGATTTTAGCGTACAACCCTTGAATCCCTCTGCAGAATATACAAAGAAAATACGCGGCAAACAAAATTGTATTCGCGTTCGACACAATAAACACATATTATATTCCGCGGAAACTGTAGAAATCGTACGAGCATTTTATTTACATTCATTATTCACTCTGTCGCGACTCTGTCTCGCGATCTCTATTTTACATTCAAATAATATCACTCACGCGATTACATTATTCAACGAATGGAATTATCGACACGCGGGGGAAATCCCAGCGAGAAACGACTCGTCTTATCGATGTCGAATCAATAATCTCGATATACGGTAATTTCGACATCGATTCGTCCTAATGACGGCCATTTTTCGCCGGGAAGCCGTTCAATTCTCATTAGCGTTTTGTATTCAGGAATCACGAACACGATAGAATTTGGCATTAAATCAGAGCAGCTGTCGAAGGAACGCTGTATAATCGATTCACCAACCCCAATTACTTAATCGGCTAATGGAACCGACTAATCACATTTTGCTGTTTGGTAGAACCATCTTTATAAAAGCCTACGTGATATTATCCTTATTATTTTCGTAAATCTAACGACATGTATCATTTATATATTCAAGAATCATGAACACGATAGAATTTGGCATTAAATGAGAGTAGCTGTCGAAGGAACGCCGTATAATCGATAACACTGGCGCCGTTTCGCGAAGAAAGGGTAAAACGGGTTACCGTGCCTCTCCATACCGCATGCATTATAGATTCTGGCCAGACACTGGGGTGCTTTCTAGCAAGAAACATATAGATGATACGGTATAACACAGTAAAAGTAAATTTTAAAAGTAAATCATTATGTCTTTGTTGTTTGCCATTGTTGAACAAAGAAATGATCACTGTGTTATACTGCGTCTCTTTCTGAAAATTATTACAATTAATTTAATGGACTCTTGAAATTAAAAAAACGATTCAAAGTGTTAAAGGCAAATGAGAGTCAAGAGTAATTAATTAGCTGCAATATTAGAAATAATTATATATTCAGGTAATAAAATTTTACCGTTACAGTTACCAAAAAAAGAAAGTAACGCAGTTACCAGTAAAGTTACCAAAAAAGTAACTTGTAACTGTAACTTCGTTACAAGTAACGAGTTACTTCCATTCCCTGGTTATACTGCGTCTCTTTCTGAAAATTATTACAATTAATTTAATGGACTCTTGAAATTAAAAAAACGATTCAAAGTGTTAAAGGTAAATGAGAGTCAAAAGAGTAATTAATTAGCTGCAATATTAGAAATAATTATATATTCAGGTAATAAAATTGTCAATTTTATATTATCGCTCTAAACAATATACGTTATTATTATTTTTAATATTACTCTTAATGAACTGCGTCTAATTCTCGCGTTAAATCGTTCTTGCTGAAAAGCACTAAACTGTAAGACCGGAATCAGACTACGCATTGAAAATTGAGATTGAATTAACATTGAAAGATTGAATTTTGGCTAATCAAAATAATAGGTGCTAAAATTTCTTTATCCTCATTGGTCAAATTTCAATTTTCGATCTTCAATCTCAATTTTCAATGCGTAGTCTGATTCCGGCCTAAAACATCGTTGAAAAATTCTCAAAAAATTAGCGCATTGATGAATTATGATAAAGAAATATCTTTTTATGTCATTTCTCTCAATAGAGAAAATGTATAATTTTCGAATAAATTAACGGTTGTTCCCAGTATAGACAATTGACGCAATTTATGGAACAATTGTGCGAACGAAATCATTGCGGATCGTATCTAAAAAGAGGGATAAATATATCCCTCCAAGGTAATTACATCTATATAAAAGCTGCCGCAAGCCGATATAATGGGCCAATTATCGCGTCCGATCGGTGCTGTAAGTGGCGAGTAACGCGACGATTAAACTATTGACTCGGTGTATTTTTAATATCCTTGCGCAACCATCGATTGTGAACGACGGCTATATAATGAATGAAAATCAGTTAACGTCTTTTTCTGCTTCTTTTCAATTTGCGCTATTAATTTATTAAACGAATAAAACGCTGCAAATTAGCGCGTAATTCCCTCTGAGAGGTTTCTTTCTGTATTAAATACGAAATTCTTATATTTCAACAGGTTTCGAGACGTGACGCTGATTACAATTAAAATATTTCACAAGAAAAAAACCGATCCCACATCAGCCTCCGTGCATTTAGTTATCTATTGAAATAATTGAAAAAATATGAAAAGATGTAAACACACAGAGCAAAAAAATGAGTGACTTAATTTTGTCTACATACCTAATTGAAATTCATTACTCATCGCGTAATAGATTTTATATATTTTTATTATATTATGATATTATAATATATTGGAAACATCTCACAATAATTTTCATAACAAAGTTATAGATTATATATATTATATATTAATATCTATAAGACAAGATATTTTCGAATCGATATTTTTTTTGTAATAAACAAATGGATCAAATAGTAACCGCACAGATATAATGCTGTAATCTAGGCCTGTTCAATTTCAACTCCGGAGCCAAAACGCAAAGGAGACTGTAAAGTGTTGATAAGCGCCATAATAATGTGCATTAACATTTTATGGTCTCCGAAATTCTACCTTGATTTTTTTTTGCGATGGTTGGACTAACAATGTATTTTTATATTATAATTTCTTTTTTATTGACTCAAGTTGTTGTACAGATAAAAAGAAAAAAATTTAATAAAAATAATGTATTTGAAAAAAAATTCAGATTTTATAATAATTTTTTAACTTTATCTTTCACAATGAAATATTCTTGGTATAATATTGTATGTTTCTGAGTAACGTATTCATAAACAACATATTTTTGCACCTTCATATCGATATATTTTTAAAGTCAAATACAATATAACGAAAAATTTAATTTCACATTTTTTTATTCACTACTATAGGTGTTTCCTGATTAAAACAGATATATCTCTTTCGTAAATTTATCTGAGGGAAAAATTACATATTAACGTTTTTGTCTCAGAACGTTTATACTATCGTAAAAGGATTAACAGTTTTCCACAGAATAATGCTGACGGAGTGTCTATACGGATAAATGTGGTTCTTAACAGAGAGGAGTAACGAAGCGCGAGAAGGGCAATCGCGCCGGTCTTCGATGGAGAAATCCAATAGGAGATAATGCAGTTTAGTTTCTGGAGGCCGATGAAAGCCGTGGCAAAGCCCTTTGCGCGATAAAGGCGCCGTTAAATAAGAAAATTCAACCTAATGGAACCCGAAGACCCCCAACGTTTCGCTTTTAATTGCCTTTACACGCTGGGCAAATTAACCTTCTTACGGCAAGATGAGGTTCTCTCTCTCTCTCTCTCTTAGGATCATAAAAACTGTAATTACACTTAGCTTATAAGCTTCTTTGATGTTTCGTTACAAAAAAAAGTACCCGTTTTTACGGAAAAAAATATTTTGATCTCCAGTCGCAATCGTTTTACTCACGTGCATGGCAAATAAATTTTATTTTATCCGATTAAATGAGGAAAGCCGTCGTCCGTGACGATAAACTACCGCGAGGCGCTTATCGAGAAGTTCAATCAAAACTAATGCAATTTCAACTACGAGTCCGATGGAAAAATGAGAAGCGTTTCTGTGACAACCGCCTTAATTCCCTTATTTTCCGCTCCTCTAATAAAAAAAAAAAGAAAAACGGAGCTTTTGCAAGAGGAAAGTAAAATTATTGCCGCTCGTTAATCTCATCTTACATTCTCGCAGTGTGGAAAACAATCGCGGACAAACAATAACAAAAGGATTAAGATCTCGGTGGAAAAGTTACTTGCGTCCGAGTTTTGTTTGGCCTACTTTTGTCAAGACGCAACCGTTTTGCGTCTCTGGCTGCAGAAGATTTACATTTATAAAGGAAGGAACAAACAAATGAAAATGTGCACCTTATTTATAAAATTACACACGCTCTAAAAAATATAATTTTTAAAAAATATAAATTTATAATAATATCATGAATATAAATATAATTATTAATATTCACATCTAAAGACCGTCAATGAACGAATACCAGTTATTGCGAGGAATATTACTAAGGCCTCGGTAGTCTAATTGGCTAAGACACTTGCGCGTAAAGCAAGGTATCCGGATTCGACTCCCGGCCGAAGTAATATTTTTCGCAATAAGATAAATTTTCCAGATTTAGTACTTTTAGATTTTAATATATTTTAACATCGATATAAGATGCCAAAAAGAGCATCAATTAATTATTAAATTGTTAATCAATTTAATTCGTGATAGTACCGTCATGGTAGTTTATTAGATTTGCGTTTCAAGACCGACAATTGTTCGGCGCGCAGTTTGGAAAGACTGCATATATTAGTATATAAATTCACGCGAAATTACATGTATAAGTAACTAAGATCCAAGCTAGACTGTTATTATAGGCTTCGTATTCGTATTAGACATAATTACCAGTGTGCGGGTATTGATATAAATATCGACATGGTGAGAGGATTTAATTTTATGTTGGTGTTAAACCAGGATATTAAATCCATCCATGATGTTAAATTTACACCTTGGTGTTTACGTCAACACAATGAGTATTATATAAACACCAACACAGTGTCTAATCTATACATCTATATTTTTTAGAATGCGTTTATTCGGGAATTATCACAGGATTGCGTTTTGGATACTGATATCAGGAAGGATATGCAGAGTAATCATGAAGACAGAGATTTGATAAAAAGAAAACGTTTCCTTTATATATACGCAAAATTTATATACATGATATAATACGTAAGTAATAGCGAGATAAGTGTCTATTGCGCGTAAAAACAATTATCAGTTCTATGTATGTATCTACGTGAACGTCACCGGCACGATTAGAAACAATAGATTTAAAAATAAATCATATTTGTTAATATCACACAAAGTATTGCCGTTTCTCTGCCTTTTCAGCCGATATACACCTATT